GGCAGTGGCCACTGCGCCATGGAGGCCGCCCTCCTCAACCTGCTGGAGAGCGGTGACACTGCACTGGTGACCGTCAATGGCATCTGGGGACAGCGTGCTGCCGACATGGCCAGGAGGCTTGGTATGCTGGGGACAGCTGGGTGGCACCAGCAGGGCTCAGGGGACCAGGCCTGTGGGCAGGGCACCAGAATGTGACCCCTGGCTGGATGCCCCCATGTCGGTGGCAGTGACCAGTAACACGGCTGTGGCAGCTGGAGACCGCTGCAGGTTTTTTCCAGGGTGACGTCCCTCTGTTGATGGTGGTTTATGATTTTTCCACTGAGCAAACCCATGGGAGGCCAGACCTAGGGGAGCAGCCGTGCTGTTGGGTCATGCATGCCCAATCCTCCCACGGAGTAAGTGGGAGACAAGTCTGAAACTCACTGTCTCTGCCCAAATCCCTTCCAGGAGCTGATGTCCATGAGCTGCTGAAGCCCCCGGGCGAGTATTTCACTTCACAGGACATTGAGGAGGTTGGTGCTGGACATGGTGTAGGACAGTGGGCACGAACCAGCCCTGGGGGCAGTCACCTTCCCTTCTGTTTCGTGCAGGGTCTGGCGCGGCACAAGCCTGCAGTGCTCTTCATCACTCACGGCGAGTCCTCCACGGGGGTGCTGCAGCCAATGGAGGGACTGGGCAAGCTCTGCCACCGGTCAGTGCATGATGGGCAACTGTGGGGGCTGATGGCACCCCAAGGTTTCCGTTGGGCACCCATGGGGTTGGGTGGCTCCCCAAGGTTACTGTTGGGGATTGGGACATGGGGATTTACAAGCCCTGGGTTCCCCTCTGGTTCTGTTGTGCAGTGAGTGGTGGCAGTGAGAGATGTGGTCTTGGGGGGAAATGGGGTGCCAGGGCTGGTGGCAGAGGGGCAGCAGGATGTGGTGGCGGGAACACCGTCTGAGCTCTGTCCTCCCGCAGGTATGGCTGCCTACTGCTCGTGGATGCAGTGGCATCGCTTGGGGGAGCCCCCATCTTCATGGACCAGCAGGGTAAGAGCCACAGTTGCCATCACAGGCACCCAGGGGACAGCGCCTGGGCCAGGGAGGAGGGGCAGTGGGACTGATAGCCCCACATTTCGGGCCAGCAGCACTAGCAATGGGTCCAGCTGCAGTCAGAGAGCCTGGTCCCCTCAGGGACTGCCAGCAGTGCCAGGGTAGACCCAAAAGCTGGGAACCTCCGGTTTCTAAGGAGCTGCCTCCCCTCTTGGCAGAGATCGATGCCCTGTACTCAGGGGCTCAGAAAGTCCTCAACTCCTCCCCTGGCAGCTCCCCCATCTCGTTCAGCGAGCGAGCCAGGTAAGGGCAGCCCCATCCCTCCCGCTGTGCCAGCCACCCACTCCAACCCTGTGGGGTCATCCCAGGGAAGCAACAGGCACGGGAGCCAACCTCAGTGCTCACTTTGGGGGGAGCCTCCTGCAGAATTGTTCCCCCCTGGCACAGGGGGTCAAGGTCCAGCTCCTCTCCAGCTCTGTGCTTCACCAGGGAGAAGATGCTGCGGAGGAAGACGAAGGTGCCATCCTTCTACTTGGACATGGACTGGCTGGGAAGCTTCTGGGGCTGCAACGGGGAACCACGGAGGTGAGGGCAGGCTGTCCTGGTGTGGATGGACAGATGGACACAGCCGTCCCACTGCAGCTTGGGGGCCGTGAGGCTCGGGTCCTGTCTTTGTGTCCGCTGGTCATGGAGTGGCCCCAGGGGCTTCGTGTATTCTCTGTGCCAAGTGAAGAGGAGGGGGGGACACCGTGCCCTGCTGCCCCTCACTGTGAGGTCTGCCACCGGCCGTGCCAAACCTCTCTGGGTGTCCCTTGGGTTTTGCAGGTACCACCACACTCCACCCATCAACAACCTCTTCAGCCTGCGGGAAGGCTTGGCCATGCTGGCAGAGCTGGTGAGCAGTGCCAGACAGGCAGGGGGGCTCCAGCAGTGCCGGAGGGGTACTGGGGAGCGGTGGGTGCACAGAAGGCAGGGATCTGCAGGGACTTTCTCCATTGCCTCTGCCCACAGGGTCTGGAGAGATCCTGGGAGCGGCACCGGGACAACTGCACTCGGTTGTGCCAAGGGCTGCGCGACCTGGGGCTGGAGCTCTTTGTGAAGGAGGAGGTGGGTGTGGGACAAGCTCACCACCACCATGCTGGGGCAGTGGGGCTGGAGATGCATATGGGCAGGTTTTGTTGCTGGAGAAAAATCTGCCCCACCCCTGCACACCAGCGATGCTCTGTCCTCGCCAGGGAACAGGACCACGTCCGGCAGCTGCAGATTTTCCCTGGTTTCTCTCTTTACAGAAGGCGAGACTTCCCACCATCACCACCATCAGGGTGCCCAAGGGCTATGACTGGAAGGAGATCACAGCCTTTCTCATGGACAACCACGCACTCGAGATCGGGGGGGGTCTGGGCCCCACAGCGGACAAGGTGGGTGACATCCTCACCTAACGCTGCCCACAGCCAGGCGCCAGACCCAAATCTGTCCCAGTATTAACTGGTGCTCACAGGCTGCAAAGAGCAAACACGCGGCTGGGTGCATCCCATCGCCCGCAGCGATGCATGGCAGCTCCTAACTGCACTCAATTGCCGCGCATAATTGAATAACCGTGCACATAATTAGTGGGGCGACACCTCTTTAGAGGAAACACGCGTTACATCAGAACAAGCAGGGAGCCAGCGCTCTGACACTGGGGGGACAGTGCCGAGGCATGGCTGTAAAGGTGGGTGCCTGCAGGGAGGTGTTCGTCCTTGTCCTCCCAGGTCCTGCGCATCGGCCTCATGGGCTGCAACTCAACCAGCAGCAACGTGGACCTCTTGCTGCGTGCCCTGCAAGACGCCCTCAAGCACTGCCGCCACAGCAGGCTCTGAGCACCCCTGCCAAGGAGGAGTCTGGATGAGGCAGCACGGCATTGCCTCCCATACCCAGCTGGAAAGCAACGCCGCAACTCACTGTGACCCAAGCTGGAGCAGAAAGGAGAAGCTGGAGGAGTGGAGGCCATGGAGGTGAGGGCAGCTGCGGGATGTGGCTCAAAGCCCCATCTCTCAGTCAGCACACAAGGTCACTCCTCGCCTCAATGGCCTGTCCTCTCGGCTCCCCTTCACCCTAGCCCCATGGCAGAGAAGCCTTGCTGGGTGCAGGACCTGACCATGGGTCCCTTCCCTGCCACCACCACCACCCTGCACCAGAGCCCAGCAGCGCAGGACGCACCCAACCCCCTCCCTGTATTAGGCCCCCTGGGATGAAACACCCACCCCAGCACCCAGGGGAGCCAAGAGGCCGGGCAGCCCCCTAGACATTCACTCTCCCCCAGTACCACCTTCCCTCAATAAAGTTATGTAGCAGCATGCTGCTTCCTGTCCCCATTGCTCGCCTTGCACCACCCTCGTCGAGTTTCAGGACACCCCGATGGGGTGGCAGTGAGGTCCTGCTCAGCTCAGCTGGGGGATTTCTTGCCGGATCTTGGCGAGGAGCTGGGCCATCGCTGAGCGGCGCATGCTGTCCTGGATCTCATACACCTGGAACTAAGCGGAGGCAGAGGGGGTAAGCGGAGAGGGCTTCCTGCTCTGCTCAAGCCTCATGCCCCAGCATTTCTGGCCTTCCGCAGCCTCCATGGGAGCACATGCCAGTGGCTACCAAGGGCCGGAGGACTCTGGGGGGGCAAATTCCAGCCCATCCTAAGCTGTCCAGCCCAGGAGGCGTCCATACAAGGCCAGCCTGGGCTCTCTGGTCTCCGTTACCTGGCTGAGCAGGATGTCAAAGTAGGCTGTGTCCCAGTAGGCTCCATCCTTGGCAGGGAGCTGCAGGAGGGCTCGGGTGCCAGGGTCCACCTGCCAGCCGCAGGTGCACACGGCAGGGCCAAAATGGAAGCGGAGGAAGCGCCGGGGGTCCTGGGCGAAGCTCTCCACCTTGCAGTAGAGGGAGGCGAGTTCCAGAGGCTCTCCCTGGAAGAGGTTCTCCTTCGGGTGCAGGAAGTGGGGCAGGCACTGGGTGGCCAGGCAGCGGAGCAAAAAGAGCCGTTCGCCCGGGCCCCCCGGGTCCTGCCAGTCTTCAGGGGAGGGGAAAAGCTCCGTACTCCACAGCAGCACCATCTGTGGGGAGAGAGAGAAGGGTGCGGGGTCGGGACCTCCCCACAAAGGCCATGCCTTCACATCCTGAGGGTCACCACACAGACACCCATGAGTGGACATGCACATCACATTTTCAGCAGCCCTGGAGCTGCTACTTGGGCTGCTGCAGGCTCCACTGGTACCCCAGCACCCCTTAGTTTTGAACTTCGCTGCTCCAAAACAACACGTTCAAGCTTTCCACAGCCAAAAAAATCCCTGCTTGTGGTTTCCATTGGCCGCTGCCAAGGCAGGTGAACTGCCGGCAGCTGCC